CATCAATCACGCCATCCTGGCTAGTACAACCGGAACTTTGTACCTACCAAAACCTGATAAAAACTTCCGGTTGTACTAGCCAGGATGGCGTGAGCAAGTCAAAATTTTCGTGGACGTGAAACAATAAGGGAATCGACTCGAGTGACGCTTCTGCTGTACCTTCTTATTCTGTGATTGAGCCCTGTAGAGACGAGCAATGGCAACTTTTATTTGCTCGCGTGCACAGCACAAAGTTGACAATTTTTCCTTGCAAAGGAATCTTGTTCCAAAGCTAGTCATGCTGACTTTTGGACAAGGAAAATTTGTTCATGTGTGTATACGGTCGCCAAGGAAAACCTGACAAGTGTACTGGAAAGACTTCTACGGTTTTGGCAAACGAAAGGCAGCCTTGACGTGAGATAAATGTTTAAGTTAACAACATTCCATGTACACAAGCAACAGAATGGCCTTGTTTCCATGTAGTTATGTCTTCGTGTTTCATGCTCAATAAGTTCTATGGATAAGCTTGTGATTGGGCTCATTCAATGAGGAACATATTGATGCACGAAACATCTGAATATGACCATGTATTTGCCTTGTATTGATGAAAAGTAAATGATACATACTGTGAATATATCTGTTTTAAAAAGTGAGCAAAGCTAGCTACAGTGGACACTATAGTATAAATTAGTTTTTCGAAGAGCCGGTCATGAGAATATTGTGTCAGCCCAGTCTCTTCTCTGCGCTTGCTGCAAGGCCACATGTAAATATATGTAAATCCAGCTTCTATTAATTTATTATAATATTACGATATTTGTGCTGTCCGGCACTTAGTGAGAAGTGTCAGGCACCACCCGATTCGTGCCTGGCAAAGTGTCACGAGGCACTATTATAAAAAATTATTTTCAGACTTGTTATACAATAAGTAAAACAGTTTATATATTATGTCTGTGCTGTAGGAAAACAGAAGTTAAAAGTCAGTAAACATGGTGCAGGCCAGGAAGGGAGCAAGGCTCAGGCAAATACATCTCAGAAACTAAAACAAGATGTTGGTGCTAGTTTTAATGGAGTCTCCACAACACCAGGTACAGCCAAACAAAAACATTCAATGTTGATAATGTTTTTAACCCATTACGAGCCAGCACTCGTCTAGCGATAGACAGAGTAAAATAATAAAGTTGTGTGCATTAGGACACAATGCATCTTAATGGTCATTGAGTATGTGTTATTATTATTAATTTTTATTTGTTCCCATATGGGCTTTTCAACACTCAATTACAAAATTATTACAAATATGTATATATAATGTAAAATTATATGTTTTAATTAAATACTAACTAATATGTTCTATATTTAATTATAATGAAAATGATGTGCCAGTGTAAGAACAAGTAAAATCGTCTGGCGTTAGACAGAGTAGAATAACAAAGTAGGGTGCATTAGGGCAAATAACTAGACACATGGGCAGTATGGCATGAGCCCCCCAGATGAGCTTATATCGCTCTTGGGGCGAATGCATAAATATGTTTAAATAAAAAATAGTCTGATTCACCATTGAGCACTAGTGTCCTCCCCTTGAGGAGTAAAATTGTCTGGTGTTCAACAGAATAAAATAATTAATAAAGGAGAATTTCAACCGTCGAAATTCTCCTTATATTTTTCAGGTAGTTGTATCCCTACTAACAAAAGCTTGTTCATATTATTGCCACTACTGACACAGACACAATTTAAAATAACAACTTATGGTGCATTGGGGGGACAGTGCAACAACATGATGGGTTAATTTAAAGAGGGGTCCGTAAGGAGACGTCTGACCGTACACTGTACATTCTTAACAAAGTCTGTTCATTCTAGACCTACCACGAAAAGATCTTTTCAAAGCTGGTCATCGTCCTGCTAATTCCAGTGCCAAGGTTTGGAAAATTTGAGAATAGACAATGCGTTTATCTGCAAATATTCATCCTCAGTTTCAAACAACTATGTGTGTCCAAATCTTGTCTTACATTTTCATATTTTCCCGTTTAGTGTGTAGCAAACTTCCCTCGTCGATCAAGGCTCTCAAAATCATTACCCGAAGTGTTGGTCGACAGCTCGATACTGCCGTTATTTTTGGAATTCCTGTACAAACAGGGTGCCCAAAACGTTCTCAACTTTTGGCTTTCTGCCGAGACCTTTCGATTGTCTAGCCGAGACAAAAATGTGTCCAGTTATAAATCAAGATTAAAGTTAACAACAAAGCAGGATTTAACAGGCAGTACAGACATTTTTAATATGCAAAATAGTTCAAGACTTGGAATTCCAGCATTTCAAATGGAGAGACATGATAATTCAAGTGAAACAAGTTTGCAAAATAGTCGGAGTTTTTCAAGTGCTGGCACTAACGATGATAGCTCTACCAGTTTTAAATCTGGTAATGAAGGTCTGAGAACACAAGCTAATATACCATGTGTGATGTCACAGAGCAAACTTGAAGTTTCAGAAGCCATGCAAACTTCACCTGACTGTACTACAGAAAACGCGTCTTCTTATGATTCAAGTCGTAAGGATGTCTCTAGCCCTCTAATATATAATTCAATGAATTCAAATTTAACTTTACCCAACCTCAATGAGGATAATGGTGCAAGGTTGGGTTCAATATCACCAATAAGTGCTGGCCATAGCACATGTACAGATGCATCAGCTCTGGTGGTATCTCCATTAAGTACCAGCAGTATTGACCAGTCTGAGGAGAAATCTTGTGAATCATGTAACTCGGACATAAGTGACGAAACTTCATTTGATACCAGCGAATGTAGTGCAGTACCATTTACAAGTGAACTACAGGCAGAAGGGAACATGGTTTCCGCAAGTCCAAATGAACTAAGTTGTGCAGACAAATCACGAGGTGACGGAAGTGCATCGGAAATATTTCATCCACAAGTTCAATTGATAAGACAAGAAAGTAGCGACACAAGGGAACGCCGACGGATGTCAAAAGGTTTGTTGTTTCATGTCTATAGCCCCACCATAGTGCTGTGTAGCTCCTGTGTTTTCTGGCCAGCCAGAGTTGCGGTTCTTTCTCCCGGCTCCAGCTGGAAAGTCGGAATGACAAGAAATGTGACAGATTCGTAGAATGGGTGATTCAGCTACAGACTAAATTTTGATCAAGGGAAGAAGAACGAAATCCAACACCACAGCTAGAAAGAGCATCTTAGAATGAGTAAAACTGCAAAGATTGGTTGCAAAATGTGGTAAAATGAAGAAAATATAGCCCTGTGAAGTTCGCAAATTTTGTATATATTTGTTTTACGCGCGGTAAAAATAACCACTTTCGGCTCAAAAATGGTCATTTTTCCCGCGCGTAATGCAAATATATACAAAATTTGCGAACTTCACAGGGCCATATTTTCCTCATTTTACAACATTTGGCAACCACATTTTTCAATTTTACCCATTTTAAGATGCTCTTTCCAGCTATGGTAATGGATTTCGTTCTTCGATCTTGTCTAGATCAAAATCAACCTTGGATCAAAATTTCGTCTATAGCCAGGGTTTTCAGTTTTGTGTGAGGCTCTGGCTAATGGCAATGAAGCTATGGTAAAAGGGAAAAGCCTAGACTATGTAGACTGGACCTGAGTTAAGTTTCACAATCAATTCGTGCACATGGATTATATATTTATGTAAAAGCTCTGGCGAATTTGGGTGGGGCTGAATGAAAAAGTCTGGCGAAATTCGCCGTTCGCTGGCCTAAACTGAAAACCCTGATATAGCTGGAATCGTGTATTAGTATTGACGAATTAAGGGGCTTCGCTCGAAACATCGAAGTTCTCCTTGTATTTTTCAAGTAGTTGGTTGTATCCCTACCATTCCGAAGCTATCTGATGAATCATTGCAGCCTTTATTCGAGCATTACCTGTGCCTTTTCAATGATTATAACTTTCTCTGTTATAATATGTTTAGTGATGATGGATGATGCTGTGAGTATATATCGTCATTTCATATCACTCGACGCAACACAACCTCTGGGTGTCGATGAAAATATGAGAAGAGAGGTTGAAAGCAATATCTGCACTGAAAACGGCATCATTGATCCAGACTGTTTTAAAGTCGCTCAGAAGTTTGCATTTAACACTTTACAAAACAGGTCAGTATTAAAGATGAATTTTGTTGTTAGGTTTTGCAAACATGAGCACTTGGCTGAAACAGCGCGATGCCCCTTATCATTGAGTTGAGCCTGCTACTGAAGATCAAGGCCAGGGTATCAGCCCTTCAGGTATCCGTTTCAAGTCCTGGCTAATAATAATTTGGGTGTGGCCAATACTGTTTTGCTCTACTGAGACTCCGGCTATTAATTGATGAGCGAAGCGAGTATGCAAAGAATGGAAGGTAGCAGCTTCAAGAGGGCTGTGAGTTGAATGGTGGGCAAAGGCTTGCAAGCTTTGTCTATTTGGTATATTGTCCGGGTGCAAGACCGGGCTAAAAATTTCAGCTTGTCATGACTGCAAGTACCGCCGGCCTAAAACAAGTAATCGCCGGCCTAAAACAAGATGGGTGGGGTATTATTTAGCATGGGTGACTACCCTCAAGTACAAGGGTAGACTGGTTTTCCTAACCAAAAACTAATCCTCCCAACTTTGCTGTACTCGATGATCAGACGTGGGTCCTATGGTGTCAGCCAGAGGCGTCCTAGTAATTTCAGCACTCGGCTGCAAGAGAAAATGATTAGCACCTTTAAACTAGAGAAATCAAATTTTTTTTTTAGATATTTTGATGATTTCATCCGTAGTTCATACTACCATAAACACATCATGGACATTTTGACAAGTGGCAAAGTTTTCCTGGCAGACATAATGTATAATGATAATGCGATGTTCTATTTTATGGAGGTACAGGAGGAGTAATATATGATTGAATTGACTTGTGCAAGCTTTGTTTCGTCTTAGGAACACTATAGTATATGTGTGATTTTGATGTTTCAAGCGATTTCAAAAAGCATGTCTTTTTACTTTAGTTTATAGAACAAGAGGAGAAGAGCTATCTTCTAGCATTCTGGATTGCTGTTGATAGTTTCTGGCAAGAATTGCAGTCAAAATTGGACAGTAAAGAATATAATGCTGATGAAGCATTAGACGATGCTATGGTTTTGTATGACAAGTAAGTTGAATTTTCAACATTAAAATGTTGAAACTGGTTTAAATCTGAAACGCCGAATTATAGTAAGAAAAAGTTAGACGCAGTAAGTGTCTCTGTAATTCGTGCAATCGTTTAGGGAAAGAAAAAATTCCTGCATAGATTCTACACCGTAAAAAAAGTTCCACAAAGATCCGGTGCAACTAATGGTCTTTTTGTTTTTCTACCCCTTGTAAGTTTTTTTACTGCAATATGTAGATTTTTATTAAGTAGTTTATCTACCAGGTATTTCTCGATGCAAGCAAGCAATTCGCTGGGTGTGAGTGACGAGACAAGAATACGGATTGAAAATAAGATTTGTCGCGAAGGAGGACCACTACCTGATTGTTTTGAAGAACCGATGGAGAATGTTTTGACACTTCTTGAGGAGGTAACGCCGTGTTCAATATGTGCACATCTCTCTGTATCTGTATAGTAACACTGGATCAATTAAAGGATGATCCTTACTGGATCTCTGGGAAGAACAGTTTAGAACTGATAGAACTATCTGGTATAAATTAAGTTAGTTTAGTTTAGGTTTCCTCCTGTAGTAACACTGGATCAATAAGAGATGGTTCTTACTGGACCTCTAGGGAGAACAGTTTAGAACTGATAGAGCTATCTAGTATAAATATAGTTAGTTTAGTTTAGGTTTTTTCCTGTAGTAACACTGGATCAATAAGAGATGATCCCTACTGGATCTCTAGGAAGAACAGTTTAGAACTGATAGAGCTATCTGATATAAATAAAGTTAGTTTAGTTTAGGTTTCCTCCTGTAGTAACACTGGATCAATTGTTAAATTAAATTAATTAATTAATTGATCAATAAGAAACTTTCCTTACTGGACCTCTAGGAAGAACAGTTTAGAACTGATAGAGCTATCTGATATAAATGAATTTAGTTTAGTTTCCCCCTGTAGTAACACTGGATCAATAAGAGATGACTCTTACTGGATCTCTAGGGAGAACAGTTTAGAACTGATAGCGCTATCTAGTATAAATAAAGTTAGTTTAGTTTAGGTTTCCTCCTGTAGTAACACTGGATCAATAAGAGATGATCCCTACTGGATCTCTGGAAGAACAGTTTAGAACTGATAGCGCTATCTAGTATAAATAAAGTTAGTTTAGTTTAGGTTTCCTTCTGTAATAGCACTGGATCAATAAGAGATAACTCTTGCTGGATCACTAGGAAAAACAGTTTAGAACATTTATAAATAAAGTTAGTTTGTTTAATAGCAGTGTATTAGAGGAAGGACTTATGCTTTTTAATTTCAGGTATATTTTCCAATATTTCTGGACAGCAGTGTTTACATGAAATATTTGAACGAGTTGTTCAGTTCAGTAACTGATGTTGATTCAGATCGAACCAGCACGTGTGCAGATGATTGCAGCAGTACGGCGAGCACAAGTGAGACTTCGAAACTTATGGAATCTTTAGTAAATGATGTGGAACCACTCGAAGACCCAGACGAGATTTGGCAGCGACCACACTTTGGGTAAGAGAGGGTTGGAGGGAGGAAGGAGTTGGGCATAGGGAGGGGAAGAAGGAAGGGGGAGAGAGGCAAGGAGAGAGAAGGGCGAGAGAAAGGGAAGGAAGTGAAAGGGTGGAAGGAGGAGGAAGGGTAGAAGGTGGAGGGGTAGAAGGTGGAGGGAGAGACTGCGGAAGGGGGAGGGTGGTGGAAGGAGGAGGAAGGATGG